TATTCATTTGGAATACCAAATTCATTTTGAAAATTTGGAAATGTTTAGATATATGCGCTCATGACCAAAAACTTTACAACAATATCAACAAAATATTTTATACATACAATCGTACGCATATAAACTAGTAACTAGTATATTTATTCGTCATTTGCTTGCTTATAAACTTAACTGCAAACTAACATTTTTTATAAACACAAATAAATTTGTCGCATTTACCTCTTCTTCTTCTTTAGATCGACGTCGTTTTATGAGCAAAAAAAAATAATTCATACCGAAAAGTTTTCTTAATTTCAAAATTCAATTCTGACGTTACAATTGGCATTAATCATACAAGTTAAATCTCTCATATCTCTTTTAAATCTCTGCTAAGCTATAATTACACAAGCAGAAAACTCGCTTAAAGCCGAAATGTATGCAAAAAAACTCAATACAAGCAATGAAAATCGTTAAATTTCCTAGTGTATAAAGTTCTAATTAAATTTTCTATTTATTATAAAGAACAGATTATTGACTTAATATTGACTTGAACAACTTCTCAAGAATGGAAACACGCATATTAAATTCTTTGCAAATGAATGAAATAATTCAAATTTATTTCAAAAAAAAAAGTTATAAATTTTTCATTTACATTATTGTTCTTCTTTTAAATTTTTAAATTCATTCAGAAAAAAAAAATAATGTAATAAATGAAAATGCCACCTTAATCCAAATAATTACACACTCCAAGTATTTAAAAATTTCTATCATATTGTGCATAAGGAAATGAATTTATTAATAAAATATTTGATTGTTATGTATAAGAAAAAGAATTAATTAAATTTGATTAAATTGAGGATTTATGGAAAACCAAGATCATCATAGAGGATTTATAAGCAAAAGTAAGTTCTTCCTGTGCGACGTCATAACATTAATAATAAAGTTTTTAATTTAACTCTTTCACTAATGATTATTAAAGAATTTGAAATACTGGCTAGCTACAACTTTTGAATATAAATTAAGAATTCTATACGCGCAATAATCAAGCACTTGGGTACTTTTGTACACGGAGTTATCATTTGAATCCGATGAAAAACCATATTTATGTTGATGAGCAATGTAATGTACTTGCATTTTGTTCCCCCACCACCCTCCCCCCTTCCCAACATTATTGAAAGAAACAGTTTTCCATTCCAGTTTTTTTAACAAAACTAAATATTCATAAGATTTTCAAGTTTATGTTTTATATTTTAATGATTAAAATCGTAAAAATTGGCTACATTTTCTCCACAATTAACTCTCCACTATCTTCGATATATTCAATTCTGTTCATTTCAAGATTCCTGAAGGACATTTTTAATATGGTAATGGATTGTGGTATATTGTTATATGTACATAGGGCTAATAATTAATTTGTATGTTATGTTATCAAATTTTGCAATTGTATTTAAGGTATTCTGCTCTGAATGAAATTAAACCTATTGCAATCAGATACAAATACTTTTACGAGTATACATTTGAAGTCTAATTTAACTAAAATTACAAAATTTAGCCCCAGTTAAATCAGTCAAATTTTGTAAATAATAAAAATTTATTTCAATATTGAAAATATAATGTTTATATACACATTGTGTACGTGCATACAGCATGATATAGCTGAATGTACATTCTTATGTAATTAATTTTTATCTCATTAATTAAAATTATTGCTGTCATAATTAAATTTATTTCCTTACCATAGAAATGCAACAATGTGTGTCCATTTTTTTTTAATTTAAATCTTCGTTGAGTTGCGATTATTTGCAATGTAAGGTATAATTAAAAATTATTATAGTGTTAAATTGTATTGTCATAACATTGAAATATAAAAAACCATAATTTTAATAAATTAAAGAAAATTATTATGCCTAATTTTCTGTGATCTCAAAAAAAAAAATATTTACGTTTCGCGTTATTGATTTCAAATTTAATTAATTTTAATTTTGCAAGGCATAAAATTATGAAATTAGTATGTAGAGAAATTTATAAAATGTTATATATATATATATATAATTTATTTAAAAACGAGAAAAAATAGAGTTGACCATGTCAATTCTGTGATACCCGTACAAATTTGTGCTAGTAAATATGCCATAACTGACTATGGGACAGACTATAACTTTAAGTTGCCGTATTACTATATTAATTTATGCAAAATTTCAATAGTGTTTTCAATATTTTCTTAAAAATAGCCAAACTACTATTGAAGTTGTAAGGCAGCTACCAAAAAGAGCTAAGAAATTTCAACGATTTTTGTCAAACACATCGGCTCTACTTATATATTTACTTGTGCGAAATTTCAATATCACAGCTATTATAGTTTCTGAGATGTAGCCAAATAAATTTTGAAGTTGTATGACATCTACCTGAACCAGTGCCCCAATCATGTCCAATTTAAATAGGGTTCTGGCAGTTACTACAATAAATCATTTGTGAAAATTTGGTGAACTCACTTAGTTTTTGAATTATCGCTAGGACGGACGGACGGACGGACAGAATTCGACACTGATCAAAAACATACACTTGAGTCTATATCTCAGAGCATTATTTCTTAGCGTTACAAACGGTAAGGCAAATTTAGTACACCCTTCGAACATACGTTCGTACTTGTATAATAAATACCTTAAATACCTTTACAGTACTGTTATAACAAATGGATGACTGAAGTTTTCAAATTGAAAAAAGAAGTACAGAAGAATTGCAAATTTGTACATAATTTCATAATTCAATCATTACTTAAAATTTTAAAATTGATTATGAATACCCTTTAGAAGCTCCATTCGATTGATACAATTTTAACCCTTGTTTTTGCACACTTCAGTTGGAATATAATGCAGACATTTTACGTATGCCAAGTAAAATAGTAATAAAATAAGCCGTCAAATTTCATGATTTTAGCAAATACTGACGTTGTTTAGAACCTGAATGGAAAAGCAAAATGAGTCAAAATTAAGATATAAGATGGCAAAAAAAGTAAATATTATCATGGGATATCAAAAACCGAACAAGAAAAAATCATCAGTTAATAGAATGACCACCTTATAGATAGATGTTTTTAATTTTTTTGCTTTAATTCATTACCTTTTCCATTCCATGCTCTACAGTTGTATGAAAAAAATATCATTACTCAAAAATATCAAATTACTCTTCATCAATTCAAATATGATAAATTTATCAATTAAACAAGTATGACACAACAAACGCTACATTGGATATTTCATTAACAACTTTTAAGAAAAACTTTGTAACCACAACCTTTATAACATATTTTAACCACTTTTATAGTAAAATTTAATATTGGAACTTGTTGCACTAACAATAAATTGCAAAAATTCATTTTCTTACTTTTCAAATAACTTTTAAAATGATTTAGCATGTTTTCACTTACAATACAACAAAAAAACAAAATTAAGAGAAGAAAAAATTACTCTTACTTGCACATCCAATCACCTCCATTTTATTTTTGATTTAAAGAAAATTTCAAAATGGTGTACAAAAACAAATTTTTTTTTCGATTTTTTCTCTATTTAAATTGAAAATTTAATAAACAAAATATATTTCAAATATTTTGACAATTTTGATCTTTATAGAATTTACTAAAAAATCCTATTTAGGCCATTAAAATATTTCGGCCAAAAAATATATAAGATAATTGCTTTAAATTAAAACCAAAAAAAAATTCAGAAAAAAAAATTATTTTAAATCAATTTTAATTTTTGAAATTCTTGTTATTCAAGAAAAATCGATTTAATTAAATTAAGGAAGAAATGTAGCATTAAAATTCCATAATTGTACCATTGATCATCAATAATAATTCATTTTTAATATTAAGGGCATAAATAAATATATGGTACCTAATACCTTTGATCGTTTATACTTGTATAAGAAAGAAATTTCCCACAAACGCCTATACAAGAATACAAACAAAAAAGTAAAAACCAAAAATTTGCAAAAACGAGACAAGCAATTACACCAAGGAATAATAAAAATCACATTTCTTAATAAAATTTCAGAGTTATTGGCATTGGCCATCAAAATTTAAGAATAAAATGTGATGTATTTAACACATAATATGTGTGATGTTATTTCTTCATAAAATGGGAAAGTACAAAATTCTCATAACCATCTTTACTGTATGCAATGCGGTCGTTAATAATGGGTGATAAATTTTATAAATCTTCATGTTTTCCAAAAAAAAATCAATTGTGATATTTAGCATTAAAGGAATTCAAATTTGCATTGATTTACAATTCAAGCATCTCGCTAATAAAATCATTTTTAATTCAGAATTTAATTTCCGATCGATTGCTTGTACCCCAGAGGCGGACGAATAAGGAACAATATTAAGCATATCAGAACAAAAAATGATCATGCTACTTGGTCCAGCCATTAATAAATACCAAAATTAAACTTGATTTTCTCATAAAATAAAAATGATTTACATAAGCTAATAATAAGTTAAAGTTACTTACATGCTCCTATATAAATCTAAAGAACGATTTCAAATCTTTAACGTTAATGAAACAAATTGCTTGAGTCTGCTTATTTCTACTTATTTCGATACATTTTGAAAAAGAATACTTGAGAGGGATAAATTAAAATTATTGAGTCTATTATTATTTTAAAATGCAATTGAAAATATGCCCTAAAAAATTGTTAGAAAAGGAGAGAATAAAATAATTTTTTTTGAAACGCACACACAAAAGCAAAAAATTCATATATAAAAAATTCGCTTTTGATCTGTGGAATTTTCATTTTCCTCAGGAGCCTTCACATATTAATTAAATTTTTATTTTTCATTTTATTTGCAATTTTTATGATTTTTTACTTGTTGTCGCCATAATCATCTAATTTTCTTCAGCTTTCTGTTTTTTTTTTCATTTTTCTTATTTTGGGTGTGATCGGCTTACTAGCATCTATATAAATAGGATGAAAACGTAAAATAGGATTTGCAGTTGCTTATTGGTAGTCGGCGGGCGCGTTTTTTTCTGTTTTGTATTTTTTTTATTTTTAATAAATTTTTTGCACTTAATTTTTTACCTTTTTTTTTTTTGCTATTCGTTCGTCCATTCCGACGATCTTGAATTAAATCAAAACGGAAAAACTAAATAATAAAAAAAAATTTTAAGTTTTACAAAAAATTCATTTTGTTTTTAACTTTAAAAAGCGTTTAAAGCCAGTTTCAGTTGTATTTGTTGTAAAAAATAAAAAAAAATTAAATAATTTTTAAGTGAACATTTTGCAATGGAACGTTGGGTTGAAAAAGTTGCAGTTGTTACCGGTGCTACTAGCGGTATCGGTTCAGCAATCGTTGTTGAATTAGTTAAAGCCGGCATGATAGTATGTGGCTTATCAAGAAGAAAGGATAAAGTTGAGGTTTGTGATTTTTTTAAAATAATAATTGTGTAAACCAAAGCTATTCAAAATTATAAAATGGATTATTATAAAAATATTAAAACTGTAGAAGAATGATAGAAATGGAGCCATAATAAAATTTTTAAAAAAAGTGGTAAAAATTACATACTGCAAAGTTATAAAATTTGTAAGTTAACATTGTCATAATGAGTATTGTATATAATTAATAGACGTAATGCTTTATAATGCTGAAAACTAGAATTTGCTAAAATGTGTAAAGAATATATAAATAACTTACAGTACAACTCAATATTTATAAGTTCCTAAAAACTTTCAACATTCCAGGCCCAAAAATTTTCGCAAATAGGAATGATATAATTGAAATATTTTTAAAATTAAAATATGAAGTCAAAAGTTGTCAAAGGCTCCCTTTTGTGTACGTGGCGTTTCTTTAAAAAATACAGACTCAAAATAATTGTTATAACAATAATTGTCACTTCCACATTTTTATTCTTAATATAATTATTTTTGTTTTTATATTTTGTAACTCTTCTTTCGGCAATAAATTTCTTGCAAAAACACTAGAGATTATTCAAACTAAACTGTTACTTAAAAATAGCTGCTGGCATTCTTCTTTTAAATTTCAAACTTTCGTCAGTAAAAAAATTTCGTAAATATTTTACGAAATTAAAATTTGAATTCAAATCATTTGTGAATTTAATTGAGTCTTAAGTATTTTAAATACCTAAAAAAAAGCCAGAGAAAAATTTCTCCTCAAGTTTCCAAAATCCTTGAGAAAGTAAGGTAACAGATGCCCCATATTTAATTTAAGAAACTGAGTTTTGAATATTACAAAAAGCGGTTACTGTTAAGCAGATACACCCATTTAATCTTAATCGTCTATATTATTATATGTATATAATAAATTAAAATCAGAGAATCTAAAACGTTGCCTCAATCTCCTATACCCGTAATCACATATTTATGCGGCTATTATGTTTAAAACATTTCATTTTTATTCCGGCTGGATTTTTATAAATCAAAAAAACTTTGAAAATTTAACACAAGTTTAAATCAAATTTTGACCAAATGTTGCTAATTTAAATTATGCACTCACGCTTTTAATTATAGACTTTTCAATTTTAAAATGAAATAAAAAAAAAATTTACTTGAATTTAAAACAATTTTCTGCTCTGTAATTTTGCAATTTCTTGCCAATTTCTTAATAAATTACACATAATAAAATTTATTAATTAGGTAATCATGCTAAATACATGCAGTCATTTAAGTGAATGATGTGACAAATCTATAAGAAAATCAAAAAAAAAAAAGATTACTTTTGTAAAGGGAAATTTGATTTTTTAATTGGCAATTTTCACGTTATACGCTCTCTGAAGACGCATAAATAATTATAGGAAAAAAATGAATCATTAGAAATAATTTATGATTGTAATTTAAAGGAAAATTTATTATTATAATTAAATTGTCAAATATTTTTCAATTATTTCTGTGGTGATAAGGCAAAATTTACTTAAAGCCGATTAAAGAGGCAAAATCTGCCTTCCGCAATCTTTTTATTACTAATATCAGAAAAATAATTTAATTGCGGCAATTCCAATTTGTTAAATTTTAAATGGCAAAAAATTTAAACAATTTCCCCATTTTTGGAAAAAGGTTGGTAAAATTCTAAAATGCAGTTTTAAAACGAAAATATTAGTCTAAATTAAAACAAAATTCGGAGCAAATGATTTTCTGTAAAAACTTTAAATCTTTTTCCGAAAACGACTTCAAATCTTAGCGTTCGCTTTAGTCGTAGCTAATAATTTTGTCATACATTATAAAACCATGTAAGTCTCCAAATACATATATGCGGTTTCTTGTTTCTAAAAGAGCCTAACTGATTTGCAATATTACTTTAAGATTCTTAAAAAGAATGCACATTCAGGTTAATGTTTTATAAAGCCAGAAATACGTGACAGTTTTAACTGAAATCGGAAAACCGAAATCATGAAAAAGTCATATATTCAACCTAATTTTGAAGTTCAATATTTTTACATAATACTTATAATATTTATGGAAAGCTTACAACATGAAAATTTTAAATTAAATATTTTTACACTATAGAAGAGTCAAAAATCATACACAAAATCGAATAATTGATTGATGACATTTATTTAATTTGACATTTATCTAATAAATTTAAATCATTATAAGCAAATTTCATTAGAAAAATTTAAATTTCCCACTCACAATTTGAGGATTATAATTTCTAGCACTAAAATTATTCCACTGAAAATTTTATTTTGTTCAATATTAAAATTTATTATTTTTTTTTTTTTGTGGAATATATTCAAAAATTAAATAGATTCTAATAATTTTGACAAGCTAATCATTTAACATTGATAAAAATAATTTTAATTTTAAAATTTTTTAAACAAAATAATCCCTTTATCCTTTTAATATAATCCTTTGTTTCTAATTTTTTTTTATTTTGTTTTCTTTTTCTAGCAATTACGTTGTAGTATAATTGGTGCACCCGGTCAATTGAATGCTGTTGAATGTGATATCACATCAGAACAATCAGTTACAGCAGCATTTAATTGGATTATAAAAACATTTGGTGGCGTTGATGTTCTTATTAATAATGCCGGTGTTACAAGTAAATATTTATTATTAGAAGACAATAATATTAAAGATTTTCGTACAATGTTGGAAACAAATTTAATTGGTTTAATAATATGTACAAAACAAGCCCTAAAATTGATGAAAGAACGTGAGGTGCAAGGTGTTATAGTCAATATAAATAGGTACGTTGTAATATAATTTTTTGGAAATTTATTTTATAAAACGCTTACATGCGTTAATTTATTTGTAATATTATATCATTAATAATTTCATAAAATTGAATTAATATTTTAGCATATTTACACAAAAAAAACGAAAACTTGTATAGGCTGGTTATTTGCGCTTCCGTTTGAATAACATTTTGAATAAACAGTTCAATATAAAAAGCTGAAATTTCGCAAGCAAACTGCTCTTACCAAGATAATTTCATCAATTACTAACGGAATTTTCATTAATTTTACCTTATTTTAAAATTATATTAAAAAATTTTTAAAATCTTATTGAAAATTGATTGGTCCAAGATTTAGTTTATCATAAGAAATTTTTAAATTCGACTTTCTTCCTTTATCTTAAATTGGAATATTTTAAAATCTCTAAAGAATTATAAGAAAATATTACGATGTCATATTATACCTTACCGGCTATTCTAAACATTCTAAAATCAACAAATTTCTAAAAAAATTCATGAATTTCTAAAAAATTCATAAAAATTCTAAAATCAACAAATAAGTGAAAAAACACACACATACTGTTGCTTAATGGGTAGACCGTCCGCCTATAAAGCAAGTTTTAATTTTTTCTGCCTTAACTCCTTTTTGGGCTACATCAATCATGTACTCTGCAGCTGTATGAAGGAATTTTAGTTTCATTAATAAATATTTCATTTTATTAGAGGAACATAATAGCTACTTAATTTCTTTCTCCTCTAAATAAACATTTTTCTGTGAAATTATTCGAAAACTTTATGTGGATTCCAGTATTCTACTTTTGGTTACAATATTACTAGTGTAATTTCCTATAAAAATGACTTAGAACATAATATTAATAATCAAGAGATTATTCTTATTCAATTTTGATGCAACGCAGCTCCTTTATGTGTTTAGTGTGCCAATTTTAAATAAAATTTAAATTTGCAAAAAAACAAAATTATTTTCATATTTCATTCAACTTTAAGCTATTTTTAAGTTTAAAAATTATATTAAAAATTACCATTCAAATATTTTGAACAAAACTCTTCGCATATATTAGTAACTTTAAAAAACTCCGACAAAATCACTTCATTCATTACAAACTTACATATGTAATGTAATTTAAAAATTGTAGCCTGTCTTTGTTTCTATTCCATTCAAACTAAAAAAATATCAAATAATATCGTAAAAAACAAAAAAACCGGAACTTTCAAATTAAAATCAAAAAAAAAAAGAATTAAAAATGGTTGGCTTAAAGCAACCGCCATCGTTAAAATAAATTGGTTTGATTTTCTATTTTTAGTTTTTTTTTTTTAACTCATCCTAATGGCAATTTTGCAAAATTAAAAAAAAAAATTTTTTTTTTTATACAATTTTTTTTATTTTTTTTATTGTTCTATGTTTTATGTAAAAAAAAAATTTTACAATTACAACGATGACATCGTGGTTGATGCTGTCGTACAATGATGGCGTTATTGGCTGCTTCTAATCAAAAAAACACAATTTAAAAATCAAAAACAAACAAAAAACAACAAAAAAAATTCATATGCACTTGCATTTGAAATTATTGCAGCATTTTAGGCCACAAAATAAATACCTGTGTACCAGGAACAAAGCCTGTTAATGGAATGTATCCGGCATGTAAATATGCTCTAACAGCATTAACAGAATGCCTTCGGCAGGAAATCATGTACTTTGAAATGAATGCCAAAGTAATGGTAAGTTTATCTAAATAAATATGAAAATTTTTTTTATTTACATTTAATTTATAAATGTACACAGCTTTACTCGTATACACATGTATTTTATACATATGTATATGTGTATGTGAACAGTTTTTTTTCTCTCACTTGGAATGATTTATTATGAAGCATCATTTTGGTTTGTAGTCATAAATATTAGTGACGATGTCATAAATCCTTTTTTTTTTCTTTCGTTTTAATTTATTATTTTTTTTCTTTTTTGGTAAATCATTGATTATAAGCTATCAAGGATATAAATGAAAGTATTTAATTAAAAGCATCAAAATTTAATAATAAAATTTAATATAATTTTATTGAGTTTACATAGTAATTAATTTGATATTTTAAATTTTTTAGATCAAAAATAATTTTATTTTAATACGAATTAATTTTCGCTGTTTTAATCATATTTCGCTCATTCTATGAAAATTTTACAATTAAATAAACCTTGAGTTTCGGAATATCGTAATATGATTCGTGACCCCAAGTTAAATTTTAATATAAGTTTCCGAATTTAAAATCCTGATTGCATGTAGCACTCTAGAGCACAATAAAAATGCATTAAAATTATGTGAGTTTCTCATAAAAGTCATCACACATTTCTTAAGCAACGCAAGAAGATTTTTAATCAAAAAATATGCACAAATAAATTTCTAAATTTTTAAAAATTTTTCTGATACAAAAATCAAGACATGCAATACGTTAACGAATGCAAAATGTATATAATTAGTACTAGTACCAATCAGCCTTTTATAGGTTTATAGGTCTTGTACCATTTTCTGGCTCTTTTCTACAGAATGCAAATTAAATGAAATTAAATTTTAGCATCAACAAATTAGTAATGAAATTTTATAAATTTATAGTTAAGTTAAATAAAAATTCGAGGCACTTTATTATAATAGCATTTGTCGATATTCCCTATATTTTTGCTAGCTCTACCTTTAACCAAAATAATGTAGTAACTAAAATAGTCAACAGAATTGTAAATTTAATTAAAAAGCATGTACAAATATCTTACACATCTCATTATAAATGACGTCTGAATATTTTGATAATACATCGAAAAATTTGTCACCACTCACCTAGAATAGAAAACTAGTATAACACAAAGGATTATCCCAAATATTAACTTTTATATAAAAATTTCCCTGTAAAACCAAATTGCATGTAAAATGATGTACGGTGATGTTCAATATTCCTTGTTTTTATATGTATGTGTATGTGTGTATGAATGTACACTTGCCCATATAAAAAAAAAAAGTAAATGATTTATGAAGAAAAATTGTGATTTAGTCGGTTAGGTAAACAACATTCAAAACATTTAAACAAAATACAAAGAAAAAAAATCTTTAATTAAAATTTATTTTTTATTTAATGGAATTTGGAATTAAATAATTTTTTTTAGAAAACAAAAAAAATTTATTATTGACTTCAAATTTTTTTTCAAATACTTTCAAAAATTTAGAGGACTTATCAATCACATTTGAAAGAAAAATTAAAATACTTTTTTTACTCCGTATTTTAATTTTTGAACTTTTAATACGAGTACAACTTTATAAATAAACATAGCAAAATTGTTCGTGCAATTTATTTGTAATCCTAGGATACTAAAAAAAAAAAATTAGAAATTTAATTCCCACTTAATTCAATCGTGGCCGTCATGAAGCAATAAAAATAGAAAAAGAGTAAAAATCTGATTTAAACTCTCTCATTTGGAACAATTTTTCGTCAAAGAGAAAAAATTATAATTGACGATGACAGGGATTCAAAAATTTTAATTCAACAATCTGCCAACCTAATTTTTAAATTCAGTATTTGAAATACCTTGAAATTGCTGGAGAAATAGATTTGTTTCAAATAGAGAAATTTGAACATTTTTACGAAAGATTTCAAAAAAAATATTGATGTTTAAAAGTAATTTGGAAGAAAGCAAAATAGGTACCCTATAGAGTTAAGTTAAATGTAAGATTGTGTTGGAAATTTTATGAATTCCAATAATATATCCAGTACCTTAGTTTTGTAAAAATTTGGATTATATGCTTTTAGTTCTCTTACCAAAATTCTATAATTTATTTGTAATACAACAAACAACTTGATTTATATTTAATGATTTAAGAAAAAAAATAAATGGAAGGTACTCGAATAAACTGAATCAATCACATCCAATTTAAATAGAGTTCTAGCATTACTATAATAAACTATTTGCGAAAATTTGGTGAGCTTGACTCAATTATTATAATTTAATGGAAATTTCTTCATGAAACTGCAGAACAGATGGATGACGTCATCAAAGGAACGAGTTAAAGGCAGAAAAATTAATTAAAAAATTTTTCTCCTAGAACTGGACTCGAACCAGTGACCTACCGCTTTCTAGGCGGACGCTCTACCAACTGAGCTAAAGAGGCATGAAGAACTTGCCGACGAAATGTTCTTTACATTTCTTTATACTGTAATCCACATGATTACTAAGTATTTGTTTACATTGACTGCTACATACAATCTACTATTCAATGACTGCTACATACAATCTACTTGACTCAATTAGTTTTTGGATTATTTGAACTGAAATGGTTAAATCTCAACAGAAAAGCAAATTTATAAAACCCTTCAAAAATACAGACGTAATTTTTATATAGACTTTTATATTCGTCCCGGACGGGCGAATATAAAAGTCAATCTCTGAATTATTTGGAGTATGGTTATCTTTGTAGCCATCAAACGTTTCACAAATTATTGGGAAAAAATTGTTAAAAATCTTTTGTGCAAGTAGTGCTTCCTTTCAGTAAATTCTTGATGCAAAATTGATAACAGTAAATCGTCCTCCTATTTTTAAACATTGTCGATTTTAATATATTCATTAATTAAAACTGTTTCATTGGCTTATGTGGATTAAATATTAATTCACATATTTCTTTTTTAAACCTTGTCTACACACAATAAAATTTTTTTCCATTGTAAAGTTGTTTATTTACATTAAAAGATATATTTTGTTATCGCATTAATTAAGGAATGCAATCTCTTTAATCTTCCGTTTCAAGACTTACACGTACAGCATATGTACATTATTCATTGATATTACTTGATTTATTTAAAATTTTATAAGAGTTTGATAGTAGAATTCAAAATCTATCATAATCAGCAAACAAAACCAATGAAGAATATTTGATACCTAAACGCCTCCCTACCTGCCTTCCAACGTTTTCTTCGTGGTTTGGTCATATTATAGCTTAATTTACCACTGTAACTTGATTGAACTTCAAAAAAATATAAATTTCAAATATTATTTTAATTACAAAAATCTTTAATTTCAAAAAACAACACACCATATTAATTTTGCAACACCATTATTAATTTAAAACACATTTTTTTTAGTTTTTATATTGCAATAAAATCAAAATATACAAAAATAAAATGATTTATGAATATTTACATATATGTACATATGTACGTGCGTATAAAAATTTGGCACAATTCAATGTTCAAATGTGAATATTAGGGCCACAAATATCTATACATTCATATACTCGTATAGTATCACACACACATAGTTAGTCCACTTATAAAGGCAAGTCTGTATTTCGTCATTTATGATGACATTGTGTACACACAAGTAAATAGAGCATTCTAATGGTATTGCAATTCTAGTGAAAATTTTAAATTACAATTTCAAAAACCGTATTTAAAAATTCTGTGGAATAGAAAAAAAAATACACATTTAATAGATTTTAAATAGCCATTACTAACAACTTGCATAAAAGGCATTTCACAGATCATCAAATAATTTATTTCTTCTACAGCATTTCAACAACATTCTACCGCATATCACATGCGACTTGCTAATCTTCTTCATAGTTGAATAAACATAAAAATATCTTGACAATTTTATTAGCAAAATATTTTGTTTTCTTTTGACTTTTTATAGCTCTCTTTTAAAAAAAAATTTACTGACAGATTTTATAATTTAATATGTCAAAAATGTCTTGTGTGACTACGTAATATTTTTTAATTTTTTGTTTGGTTTATTTTTTTTGTTTTGGGTTGTCTGTTCTTTATAATTTGAAATATTTACACAATTAAAAAATCATTACAATTTTTTATTAGTTCTTTTTTTTTAAGTTGATATTTTAGGGATTTACAAGCTGTTAAAAATTTAATTTAAATAATTTTTGCTCTTAATTTTATCAAAAATTTGTGTAGTGATTATTATTTGCTGATCATAGACTATAGAGAGAAATTAATTTACTCTAATTAATACTTTACCAGAAGCTATTTCGAATTATACAGATTATGATAAAAAGAGAATTATATAGAGCAGAAGTAAACGACATGCATTTATTTAAGACTCTGTTTTGCGGCTGCCACATTTTATATCTCTTAATATATAAAATGGTGTAGCACACGCTTGGAAACAAAAATTTCAAAAAACCCATATAACCGCATTTGGCAAATAGTTAGAAACGTCTGCAAACTCACAAAGCTTTTACATTTTTTGTAAAACTATTTTCTAATCCAGAATTGAATAATAAATTCATAAAACTTATTTGTCCCCTAGTTAATAGTTACAACAATTACTGATTCATGAAGAGCTTAAAGTAAAAAAGGAGAAACTTATGTATTTTATTCGCCACTGTTTATAGTTTTTGACAAATTTGTATTATTGAGGTTATTTTAGAAAAAGGGTGATTGTCTTCTACAAATTTCCTGTCTCAACTATGTACATATATGCACTATATTCAGTGTTTACACTTAAAGTAATCTAAAAAATATTCATGTACATATGTACATACATTTTTAATAAACTCAAATTGAAAAATTCATTACAATATTAGCAACTTAACAAAAACTATTTTGCATACATTTTTCTAATTCATTTTCTCTTATTTTGCAATAAAAATTTTCAAAATTAAAAACATGATGGCTATGATTAATGTTGAACATATAGTTGATAATAAATTAGAATGCAACAAATTCATATTTAAATTAAAATGCAAATGAAATTAAAAGTTTTAAAATCTAAAAATAATAATTATTTATAAAATATCCAATAGTTTCTCTTTATACTTTTAGAACAATACCGAAAATAATGGCACAAAATGTAAGAAAAATGCAACTGAATTTTGATGCAAATTTATTATTTACAATATTTTCCGTATTATCGTACATTCATTCGACCACAATTTGTTGCGTGGTCAACGTAAATTAAACATAAATTCAGACATCGATTTGTGCAAAAATCCCTCGTAAACGAATACTAGCACTACAGACTTTTATACTAAACAAGTTCTATGCTTAGAGCATACAAGATCACAAACCTTTCATGCACTCCATGATATTATGTTCATTTAACCTACATCATACTATTTAAATTTGACATTCACTGGCACGGTAAATGATCATTGTCTGACATTTACTTGCACGGTGAGTGTTTACTTTTACAGTAATATTGCAACAGTAATATTGCAACTTCAAGAATGAGACAGTTAGGAAATCGTCTAATATTATTTTTTTAATTCTAGTCTATTCTAATAATTCAAATTATAAATTTAATATCCAAATTATAAATTTAATAAAACAATGAGCAATACATAATAAAAGTTTTTTATTTTCTTTTGTTATTAATTTATTTAAGAATATCAGCCCTGGACTAGTGCAGAATGATATTTTGTCAACAGGAGGTGATAACGATTTAGTTAAACTTATGCCAACATTAGATCCAGTAGAAGTTGCTAGAGCTGTTATGTTCGCAATGTGCACTCCAGAGAATGTTCTGGTAAATTTTATATAATATTACAAAAAGAAATTTTAATATTCAAAAATATATTTTTTTTTTTAAATAGGTCCAGGATTTAGTTATTAAACCAGGTGGAGAATTCCTTTAATTATCTAATGTTCATTATATTATTATTACTATGTAGAGACTTCATTGTGAAATTCACAACATAAAATATCAAAAAAGTATTGGTTTTGCTCTTTCATTTATATTATTGTTTAATTTATTGTATAATAAAATAAAAAAATTTAATAAAATTATGAACTAAAAATAAATACATATGTAATTGGAAATTGCTTTCGTTCTCTGAAAAATTGAAATTTCATGCTCAAAATTCATAATTTTCCATTAGGTTTATATTATTGCATTAAGAAGAAATCGGCAAACAAACCAAAAAATATCTTTTTGTGTTCTTTGCGGACAGAAAGGGGTATTTTTCAAATGACTTCAAAAACGGCTGCCCCATTTCTCAAAATTCATCTCGTTCTTTTTGAAGTCGGTTAAAAAAAATAATTACTTGTATTCTCTGAGATGTACCGCCAAAAATTGACAACTAAGTCGGTTGACCAAATAATAAGATATAAAAAAATATTTCAAATAATTTTTTAAAACACCTAACTGCAAAATAGCTTCTTTATTAAAATAAATAATAACATTATAATAACAATATACCCATGACACCCAAATTATAAACTTGCACTAATATTAAAATTATTCGGCAAATTTTCTATCTTTCCTTCTTCATTAAGCGTTTTTGAAGCTGGATAAAAATATACTGGTCTATAAATTACAGGTAACTGTTGTGCGGGTTGTACTTGTTGCGGTGGTCTTTTCTTTCTCTTTTTCTTACCTGGTTTCTTTGTACTCAAAACGGGTACAACATAAACACCCTCTTCATCACTTTCATCCTCGTAATCATTTGATATGCTTTGATGGGATTGTTTATGATTTTCATAACCAATCGTTGAAGATGGTACATAATGATTTGACTGTGAAATATGATATTGTGAATTTTGATTTGGTTGATAATTATATTGATTATTTTTATTTCCATATGAATCAGAAACTGTGTAAATAGGTGGCTGAACTGAGGTTGATACAAAATTTTGTTGACCATTTAAACTTTGATGATAATGATGTTGATGTTGATTAAATTGTGAATTTTGTGTTGGACGTAAATTATAATTATTATCATTGTTATTCGATGGTATATAAAAATCAGAAAATACTGGTGGTCTAGTTGTACTTGAAGCAAAATTAAACTGATCAATTTCAGAATTGTGACCTATTATATGATATTGTGAGCTTGAACTTATTGGTGGCCTTACAGATGATGTTACATATACAGGTTGCGGTATATCATGTACTTGAGGAGCTTGAGTTACAAAAAAGGCGGAAGATGCAGGTGTCGAAGATATATAACCGGCAAATACTGGTTGTGGAGTTGATGATACAAAACTAGCTGAATTAAATTGATTTGGAAATTGATTTGGATTGCTACCAGGTTTCGGAGTAATAGCTATAAAATTATTATTTGATCCATAAGGATAAGAAAAACCACTTGCAGATATTAAACCTTGAGGTAAACTATCTGAATTCGATGGTACTGGAATCAAATTTGTATAATAAGGTTGTTTTCGTTGTGGTTGTAATTGTTGTTGTTGAAATTGATGTTGAGCAAAAAAATCTCCAAATTGTGCATTTTGAAAACTTGTAGCATCAAAACTATCTACTCTCATAGCTGGCATAGTAGTTGTTGTCGTTGTAGTTTTTGAACTAAATAATAAACTGGTTTTATTATAGAGAAAAGTGTTTGCTAATGAAGTTTTATTGAATAGAAATGATTGTGTCAATGTAGTTTTATTGAAAATTATGTTGGTAATATTCGAAAGATCAAAATTTGCTGAAATTATTTTTCCTTGAAACGGGAAAATTTCTGTTGTTTCCTCATTATTCTCATTATTTTCTGTATTATTTGTGGAGTTACTAAAACTTTGTTCTAGTATATTCGGATTGGTCGCTGTTGCCTCCTGAATACCATCAATGTTAACTGGATCTGTTTCATTATTTTGTCCTATTAAAAAAATGTGTTTTTAATAAAGAATTTGATAATTAATAAAGAAATTGCACAAATCACCGTTAGCACAAAGAATAAAGTTAAAGAGGTAATGAAAATTTTTATTTAAACAACATCCCCCATAGTTTATCTACAATTTATAGTATAATAATTTATACTATTACTCCTTGAATTTAATTAAACATTAAAAGTTATGACAGTTTAAAAAGTTTTTCTCAATTTTTCTTATAGCAAGGCACTCTCAAAATTACATTAAATAACAATTAACACCTTCAAAATAAATTATAAGAAAAAACAAAAATTTCAAAAAAATTTACCATAACAATTTTTATAATAAAGAATTCCAATAAACAAAAAATTAATTAAGAAATGTTTTAACATTGTCAAAAATTACAATTCAACTAACTAAGAAATTATTCCAATACCTTCTTTTATAAAATTTTGACAAAAATTGTTTAAATAAAATTTCTCCAATTTATTAAATATTAGAAAAGAAATTATTCAGAAATTAACATAATCAACGATAAAGGGGCAGCATTCAACTTTAATTTTGTATTTTTAATAATGAAAAATCACTTAAAACAAAAACTGTTAACAAAGATGACATTTTACATTTAAATGACATAAAATTCTAGTTCAATCTCTGATGTCATTTTAATTAAAAAATAATATTTTTCCAATATCAACAAATAATTTCAATAAATTAAAAATCGAATAAAAAAATATAAAAAATTTACCAAAATTGAATTGAGAACGTCAAAATAACTACAAAAATCACAAATATGAAGCATTTCATACTTGTAAGGTAAAATTGAATAAAATTCCAACTTGACAAATTCACATTTTGCCAATTATTTCGTTTTGAATTTAAACTGAATCCATTATTTCATAGCATCTTCAAAACTCTCCACAATTATGTTGAAATTGATTCAATTTTTTCCAGACACAAAAAAAAAACGCTGTGCAAAAAATGTAGAAAGCAAGAGAAAGTCAAGTTAAAAGATGAACTAATAAATCCGGTATTAAGGTAATCTTGTTAATTTAAAAATATGTTGACTCTTTGATAAAATTATCTAACAAATTTTATTTCAATGAAAGATCTAGAATTTTGATTAAATTCCTCTTTCAAAACGTTGTCAACACTGATAAAAAACAAAAATGTCCAATATTTTATTTATTGTAAATGCAATATGAAAGTATAATGAAAGTAAATCTTTTGGTTAACCATTATTAGATTTAACCAGAACATTTTTATTTACAAATTAATTATATTTCCATATACATATGTACATACATACATACATACATAATAATATTATATGTACATACAAAATCAAAATGAAATTTTCTTTTGATTTCTTGTAACTTTGCCTTTTTTTTTGTCAAAAATATTTTTGAAATTTAAAAATTTTTTGATTCAAAGAATAATAAAAGAAGTACTCCTGTTCATTAAAGCGAGAAACTATGAAATTTTAAGTGTAAGGTAAAATAAATATTTAAAATTTTTATGTCAAAACCAGAAAAAAAAGAAGATGTTGAAGAAATTTCTAAACTATTTTGTTATATATAAAAAATACAATATTTGTGTGTTTGTTTATGCATTTATTTATTACACATATGTATGTATGAAATATGACTGTGTGAGAATTATGGGATAGTAAGAAATTTGGTTTTACTCATTATTAAACTAGATACACACGTGACTTAACTGATCTGTAACGAATATTACTTTAGGTACACATAACAAGAAGCTCTTATCTTCTCCGAATTACAACAAATCTCTTGTTGAATTTACAACGTTTTTTAAAAAGTGGAAATTATTTGAATTCTAATAGGGGCTTCAATATGATTTCAATATGAACTTAACCGAAATAAGAAATATTAAAGCGAAATTGAAGCAATTAAATACCTGATTCTATATCTCACTGTTACAGTCAAGTTTTCCATTCACTATCAAATCAGGTAGAAGCTAAAAAAATCGGAAATTGAATTCTCATTTTTTCTAAAAATATCAACTGAGAACAAAGTGAATGAATGATTCCTAAATTTTCAATAATTTCCACATAAATTTGAAATTTATTTTTAATTTGCTCTCTGAGATTAATGGCCTGTAGATATATATGGCATTAGACAGATCAACGAAAATTATTAAATTCTAATTTGACATTTATTCATTATTATTATTATTTCGATTATTACATTATCGATTATTACATTTTGTCGATTATTATTATTTTGAAATTAATTTCAAATATTTTAAATACATGTAGATTATTATTTGTAGTGTTTCACACACTAGAATAAAATTTTTCAAAATATGCAAATCACACAATAAAAAATCTACTAGACCATATAACCAATAATAATTTTGTCTAGAATTATTATTGGTCTGCAGACTAACTCCAAATTTGTTTTTAATATGAAATCATAAAATGTTAACTGTAAATGATCATAATCTGCTCATCAATATCATTTCAATTTTTTTTCCACGCCCGCATTGCGCACAATAAGGGAGGTATTTTGAAAGTGCCAAATTTTACATATTTTAAACGAAAATGCATATTTCTTCGTGATAGAGAATTGTATAAATAAATCATACGTTTTGGAGATATGTGAATTTCTTTGCGTGTGCACTCGTGTTTCTAAATTTCGTTTGAACAAATTTTAATGAAAATTTACAAATGAGTTTATTTTAGAGAAAACATCAATTTGAATTTTTGAGGTGTGTTAGGGTTCAACACCTGGTAATTTTACTATACTGAACTTCCATCTTTAACCCTGGAGTTATAATTAGGCGATTTTCTTGAATTTTAATATTCTAATTCTGGTAGTTAAAACTATTAACTAATATCATTTTCCGGGTAATTTCGAAGTTTACAAACTGAACTCAGAGTTCATTTAACATTTTTAATCATATACATTAAGAACTGATGAACAGAATTTCTTAAAATTTAATATTTGAATCCTGATTATTGACAAACTTTTAAGGAAATCGGATCCCAGAAATTAAACTTCCACAAATAACCAATTTTATATTTTGCTACCATATGACTAAAAATGCTTTCTTTAACATTTTCATAATCCTTGCAACTTTTTCGCTAAATTAATAAAAACAGGTCTATTTGTGTTATAATGCGGTCGATTATGTGCTGATCACATCAGATTTTTTTTAATTGTAATTATAAAACAAAAACCGCAGT